TCAGAGGCCCAGCGGCTCTGGGGTCGTCCTGTTCTGGTTGCAAGGCACCTCGGATGTTGCTGTCTTCCGGGGGTTTGTTTGCTCGTGGCGCCTTCTGAAAGAAAGGCGCCGATTCCCTTCCCTCCCCAGCCCTTCGGAAGTGACCCCGCGTCTGGTGACACATCTAGGTTGGTTGCAGTGCTGTGTTTATCTTTTCCTCACCCCACCCCACCCCCTTTCCCCGTTTCCAGACCGTGTTGAGTTCACAAGACCGCGACATAAACATTGAGACCAGGGAGGAGGCGAAGGGGATCTTGCACTCCTTTTAAAACCTCAAGTAAGTCTCCAAAATACCCTTGGTTACACTTGTCTGCACCCTCAAGGAAAGCTAGACACGAAGCCGATAGGATTCAAGTAACTGCCTAATCTGCTGCGTGCCCAAACCTGAGCAGATGTCAAGGTTGCTGTGGGTCTGGATAAGACAGCCGGCCGAGACTAGAGCCACTTGGCTATCTTCAGCCTCCTGCCTTAAGACCTCCCCTGGGTGGGACACAGTCTTCACCCCTGTTGTCTAACAGAGCTAAAAGGGTGTGCCCCATGCCCTCTGCTGAGGCCAGCTGATCCCGAAGCACCCAGTGTTCTGCATAGCTTCCAAGGTCACAGTGTGTAGGGACAGTGATGATTAAAATTCATCCCTGTGCACCTGTGGCTGGCAAGTGTCGGTTTGGCTCTTATTTGCTGTCATTGAGCCATGTTTGGAAGTCACAGTGTTGAATATATTTGAGCTTAGGTGGGCAATGTGTGTGTAGAACTTTTGAAAGTATTTTTATTAATCTTCTTACCCTTGTATTCTTGTATTCTACTCAAGTTTTTTTTTATTTAACATTGCTGTCTATACTGTGAGTGAATTCAACAAATAGTGTGCAGATTTTGAAAAGCAAAATTTACTTCATAATGGGGTGACTTGAATTATTTGGTGTTGGTTTTATTTAAATAAAATAATTTAAGAGTAATATCTAATGATTACATAATGATACATAGAAACTGATAAATGAGGTATGATTAACCATAGGAAGAAAGGAATTGCGCCATTTAAATTTTTTCCATTTCTATTAATATTTCCTCAGAATACCAGCATGCTGTATTATGTGAATTTTCATGTTCCTTGCCCTCATGAAATCACAGGGCTTTATTGTATTGCATGACCTATCTGGAACATTTATTTCTGTGTGACTGCTAATACTAACTAATTATTCTTACTTGGGTTGTAAGCTTCTGTTATTTAAACTGTCACCCTAAAAATTTGACATGAACACACTGAATCGTGCTACATTGTATGGAAAATTATGTTTAATATTTTTTAATATTTGCTTCCTAATTTTAACTGCCAGACTGTTACAGAAAAATATTCATAGCTTTAAGAACTTGTGATGCAGAGGTTTTCTTCTTGTTGTATATTTGCTGCTGTGGTTTGAAGTAAGACTTCTAAGTTTGGAACGTAAAACAGTATGAATTTTGAATGAGTGAAATGCCACATTGAAATTAGCTAGTGATATGCATATAGGTTATAATGAGCCAACAATCGATTTCACCTTTAGTGCCAGCTGATTTCTAGTTAAAACATGTTGTTGTTTTTTTTTCCTATAAAAACTTATATGTCTTCTGAGAGCACTAAGAAGGCCTAAAGTCTGGCTCTACTGTGAACTTTTGCCAAGTGTTACCATTTTGACTTTATTGTCATCACCGGGGTTTCATTTCCTAGTGCTTTGTTAGAAAAGCACTTCTGGGTCCTAGCAAATGGTTCCCTCGTGTCCCATTATTTTGATTGAATATAATTTTAATCCTACAAGTAATTTACACTACCTAACCCTGTAAATATCCCATGACATGACTTTGCCCCTGGAATTTACTGTCAGATTTTTCCTTTTCATTAGACATGGGGAAGTCTCTTTCTCATTTACCTTTGCATTCAAATAAAGAAGATGGTTATGATGGGGTCACCTCGACAGACAGCATGAGGAATGGACTCGTTAACAGTGAGGTGCATAATGAAGACGGAAGAAATGGAGATGTCTCTCAGTTTCCATATGTGGAATTTACTGGAAGAGATAGTGTCACTTGTCCCACTTGCCAAGGAACGGGAAGAATTCCTAGGGGTATGTTTTACTCCATATATCTATCCTCTTAAAGAAATATTCCAAACATTTGTTCAAGCAATGTAAAACTATAGTTTTAAGCAATTTAAAGCAATTCCCAGCAATTCGAAGTTAAAACTTAACCAATTTTGTTTAGTCAGAAAGACACAAAAGCAAACTGTTAGTAACGTTCCTAAAGTAGTTGATAGACATGACTTCAGCACACCTAGTATTTTTCATGCTTGTCTGCTAAAGTAGTCAATATGCACTGTCGTTCCCACTTTGGATTGCCCTCCCTTTTGACACCATTAGAAGCCATATCACCAGGCATTTTGCCATATTGGATGTTAGTAATTACATACTTCAGTAACTTCTAAACAATAAGTTGTTTATGTCCCAATTAGATATTTCTTAAAGGAAATGCATGACATATGAAGACGAGCCAAGTAAGAGGGGGGAAAAAAGTGAGCTTGTGATTTGTCATGGGGAAGACAGAAGGAACTAGTCCTCTCCCTCCTATTTGGAGGGTACTTGAATTGCATTGATAGAAAGGACAAATAATAAAGTGTGTTGTGGTTTCTTCTCTACATGGTAAATGTCACTAGGTGACCCTGGAGAGACCTAAAGAAGGACAAAGTGACTGCACTTCATAGTCCAGAGCCTCTGAAAAGTGCCTTGCATTAAGTGGGGTTTATGGCATAGGCTACTGAATGGTGCTTTTGTCCTCTGGGAGACAGTAGTTGCTTAGGAATAAAAGAAGTATTGTAGTTGAAGAAATTCATACACCAGTGTGGTAGGGTAGGAATACTATTTCTGTCTATCTAGCCATGCTTTTGAGGCATGGCCAAGTAGGCTTTGGGTAGCCTGGGTGTGGATTATGGAAAGTAGATAATCAAGGATCACCCCAAAGGTTTTTTTTTTTTTTTCTGTTTTCTTTTGTTTTTTAATTCTATTCCAGCAATTTAAAGAATGACATAGCTATTTGCTAAAATAGGCATAAGAACAATTTGATATCTTAGGTGGTGTCATCAAAAATATTATGACATTTCAAGTGGAACTTGAGAGGAACACTCTTCTTGACAATTTAGATAGAAGAAAAAGGAAGCAACTTTGGCATGAACTCTGGGGCAGTACAGCATTTGATGACAGTGGCAAGAGAGAGAGAGGGGGAGGAAATCTGTCTTTGGCATCCTAGAGGATAAGTAGAGAAAATGTGCTGAGGAGGAAAGAGAGAGCCACTGTTAATACTGATGCCAGATGAAGCTGTGTGGGGACTGAGGGCTGCCCCATTGGTGTTGAGGTGTGGAGGCCACTGGGGATTGTTTTAGAGTAGTTTGCATAGTTGTAACAGCATGTGTAGACAGTGCCATAGTAAAACCTTTTTTTTTTTTTTTTTATTGAATTAGTACACACGAAAAAGGTAAAGAAAATAGGTTCTGTGAATTTTGCTCTAGGAGGAGAGGTGGTAGCTGGGAGGTTGTAATGTCAGGAGAGTGATCTCTTTACAATTGAGTGAGTGCTAGATGTATGCTTGCTGATAAAAGTGATTCATAGAGGACATACTGGTAACACAGGAGATGGGATAGTTAATAGAGCAATATCCCTAGGTAGGAGCAGAGGGTTGATACCTGGTAGAGAGGGTGACCCTGTAGAGAGTACAGAGAGCTTCTTAAGAAGGGACATAGAACAAGTAGGAGGATAGATATTGTTAAGTCAAACTCTTGAGGCAGATGAGTTTGAAATAAAGGGCTTATTTAGCTGTTAGAGATATTAGCCACAGGTAAAAGCTTGTCCTATGACAACTTCTCTAAGTCACCAGGAGCACAGCCAAATAGCACTTGGAAAAGTGTCCACTGGACCTAAGAGACCAAGATAATCTATAATGAATTTCTGGGAGAAAAACTATAAATTATTTCCTTGAGCCTCCTTTGGGTCTAGAAAAGGTGCCCGGATAACAGAGAAGCCCATGGAGAGCAGGAAGAGTGTAGAAAGAGATTTCCCTGCCTGGTTGGTTGGTTCCAAAAGCTGAATGCAGTGTGGTCTGATGGCTTCCTCTTTAACATACAGGAAAGGAGTGTAGAACAGTTGTTCCCTTTTCTTCATTTGATGCTATGAGTTAAATGAAGTTATCTTATTTTTCCTTCTGTTTTCCATCCTGTAACTTAATTTAGGACATTTGAAAAGTCTTAGCAAGGTACATTGTTAGGGATATTCTCACCCTGTTCCACATTATGGAACAAGAATGAGGATAAAGGAGGCAAAACCGAGAGTCTGAAGAGAGATGAGTTTTGAAATTGTGGTGTTAGAGAGTGTGAAGTAAGGAAATATGGTGTAATTGTCTCCTTGGGGAAATTAGTGATTGCAAATGAGAACAGTGAGCTCTTAAAGTTTGAGATTTAGAATAGCAGTTTGGGTTCAGCCATGGAGTGATTGAGGTTACAGGAAGAGGGCAGCATCCATGTGTTTCTTCCACTCTCCTCCAAGTTGCTCTGAATGGAAAACAGTGGAGTTGAAAGAAGCTCGGGGGAGTTCAGATCTCCTGAAAGCCAAGACTTGCCAGCTTTGTTTTGCTTTGAATTTTGGTTTTTCATCCAGTAGATCAAAGGATAGCAGAGTCCTCATTACTTGTTCTCTTTTTGGTTTTTTGAGACAGGGTTTCCCTGTGTAGCTTTGGAGCACTCGCTCTGGAGACCAGGCTGGCCTCGAACTCACAGAGATCGGCCTGCCTCTGCCTCCTGAGTGCTGGGATTAAAGGATTAAATTGGTGTTCCACCAATGCCCAGCTAATTGTTCTACTTTTGATTAATTAGACATTATAAAAAAACATAGTATCTTCTCTATAACTCAACTTTTGAAGATATAAATAACAGTGTACTAAAGAAATAAGGAGAGAAGAACCCTGGTCTTTTGAAGCCATATTTTCCTTGAGCACCACTATATTTTTAATTATTGGTGTTAATGAATTTTTAATTACATCTTTCACCTTTAGGGCAAGAAAACCAACTGGTGGCATTGATCCCATATAGTGATCAGCGGTTACGGCCTAGAAGAACGTAAGTGATTATAAGTTTTCTGCTTTTGTTGCTGTTTGTATATGTTTACTTTCAAACTGTACATAAGTAATTACTCTAGATAAGACATTTAAGAAGAAAACTATATCTAGTTTTTAAGTTATACCATCTTATGCCTTGTATCTTTCAACAAAAAAATTACTGCTTTAGGTGAGAATTTGAAAACTTCATGGCACCTGTATCTTCAGAAATCTGTTTGTTAAACGAGTTTTAAAATAGTGGCAATGCCATACACATGTAAACAGGCCATTTTCATCAGGCATAGGAGGTTCTGTGTTCTCACTAACCACAGAATGATAGTAACTGCCCAAGCATAGTGACCACAGACACCTGAGCATGCTTAGCAGAAGTGTGGGCATTTGAAGAGAAGCCAGGAGAGTCTGTAATGAATCGAAGAGTCCTGATGTAGAAAGCAAATGCTCCACCTCTAAAGAAGATGCCTGCACTCAGCACCCCTGGCAAGTATTTAGTTATAGAGAGAAGAAGAGAGATTGCAGAAAACCCACAGTGGCCTTGAGAAGTCAAAAGGGGCTGAGTACTCCTGCGGGCCAAGCCAACCTTGGCCCATCCCAGTACTCAGTGTGGAACATGAAGAGCAGGAACTCAGAATAATGCTGAAAATTCACACAGAGAGAGAGAGGAGAGAGAGAGAGAGAGAGAGGGAGGGAGGGAGGGAGAGAGAGGGAGAGGGAGGGAGAGAGAGGGAGAGAGAGGAAGGGAGGGGGAGATGGAAACTTCAGTGTATGTAAAATTTAAACTATAGAAGGTATGACAGTAGTTTAAGTAAGACACTGAAAAGTTCAGAAATGAGATAACTGACAGAAGGGTGTGAAAAGAGAACCGACAGACCAATAGAATATGTAGAAAAATACTTTTTCTGTAGCATTGAAGTACACAGTGCAAATGTGATGCCCTGGAAAATGTGAGAGAAATGGAATAAACATGAAATATGAAAACATACAGTCTTAGTATTCTACTGTTGTGAAGAGACATCATGACCGTGGTAACTCTTATGAAAGTAAACATTTAATTGGGGCTTGTTTATGGTTTCAGATGCTTAGTTCATTATCATCCTCACAGGGAACATGGCAGCAAGCAGGCAGGTATGGTATTGGAGAAGTAGCTCAGAGTTCTACATCCAAATGCACAGATAGCAGGAAGAGAGAGATGCTAGGCCTGTCTTGAGCTTTTGAAACCTCAAAGGCTACCCCTGGAGATCCACTTCCTCTAACAAGGTCACATCTACTCCAAGGCCACTCCTCCTAATCCTTTTCAGTAGTGCCATGCTCCCTGATGATTAAGCATTCAAATATATGAGTGTATGAGGGTCTTCTTACTGAAACCACCATACATACTGTCTTAGGGTTTCATTAGCTGTGAAGAGACACCTTGACCATAGCAACTCTTATAAAAAAAACCATTTAAACATTTAATTGGGGTGACTTACATTCTCAGAGGCTTGTCCATTATCATCAAGGTACAATATGGTAGCCTGCAGGCAGACCTGGTGCTGGAGAAAGAGCTGCTGAGATTCCTACATCTTGACCTGCAGTCAAAAGGAAGTAATCTGAGATACTGTTTGTAGCTTAAGCATATATGAGTTCTCAAAGCCACCTCCACTGTGACACACTTCCTCTAACAAGGCCACGGCTACTGCAACAAAGGCATACCTCATAATAGTGCCCCTCCCTATGAGTTATGGGAGCTACTTACGTTCACACTACCACACATACATAGTAAACATCTGAGAATAATGACGGAAAATAAGGAAAACAATGGGTAATTAATTGCAACCCGACAGAAGCAAATAAGAGGTATTACTAAATGTTTGCTTGAGCTGCACATTGCTAGAATGAAAAAAAAAGGCTTTGTTCTGTGTATCAGAAAGAGACACCCTCACCCTGAAAGTCATGAACTTTGGAGGTTTAAAGAAAAAAGCCCTTTGAACATTGGAGCAAGAGGCTGAGTTAATGAGTAAGGGATAGACGGATCAGACTGACTCACTTCTTCTTGGCCACGAAGCATCAAATAAGCTATTAAATAAAATATTTAGCAATCATGGAATTAAAGTCAAGTAAACCTTCTGTAAACCTAATGTGGCCTTTTATCTTAAAAGTCATAGACAGGTGAAAAATGTTGGGCCAATTTTATAATCTCAAGATTATAAAAGGAGAGCCTTTTCAAAAGCTATGATTTAGAATCCACCTGTGATGAAAAAACACATTTGACTTAGTATAGATAAACTTCCACAGGTTGAAAACAAAACCTTAATTAAAATCAAAATACAAATAATAAACCAAGAAATAATGTCTGCAAATCATGTCATCAAGAGGACTGAGTCCCTTCAGTACAGAACATCAAAGTTTGAAAAGAAAAAAAGCCAGCTACACAAAGGGTGATAAAAATAGAGGCTGTGGAAAGTACCCACAAAAAAGAAATATATATGACCTTTAGATGAAGGGAAATACATACACTCCATCCTGTTCCTTAAAGAAATGCAAATTCAGTCTACACAGAGATATCATTTCTGTCAGATTGGCAAAAGCCCAGAATTTTGACAGCATGCTATGTTGGCACTACTGAGTGAACAGAAGCATTCTCATGTCTTACTAGTTGAATAAGCATTTTGAATTTTCTAGCAAAACTACATAAGCCTTCAGTCTTTCGTATAGAAATTTGACTTTTCAAAAATTTATACTGAGGGTAGTTGTCAAATATGATAAAAGCATCCAGGCATGATGGCACACACCTCTAATTCCAGTACCAAGAAGTACAAGCAAGAAGATCAGGAGTTCAAGGCCATCCTCAGCTGTATACCAAGTTCAAGGTCTCTCTGGGCTGTGTCTTTCTGAGTTATATGAGACCCTGTCTCAAATAACACGAAGCAAATAAGTGTGTGTGTGTGTGTGTGTGTGTGTGTGTCTGTACACAAGTAGTTAAAAATTAAACAACCTAATAAAGTATAGGAAATCCAATAAAGTTAAGATGTTTGATGACAATGATTTTTAAATTCCTTTTGTGCTTAAGATGTTTTGTGCCTATGGGTATATTGTAGGCATGACAAATTTGAGTTTGTTTATTGGTTACTTGGAGATCATTGTTACTAAGATTGAAAAAACTTCCATATGGAATGAGTGGGAATTAGCTGGTTGGCTGGTTTGCTTCCCTCAGCAGCATGAACTCTGTGATAGCAGTTTAGTGAAATTTTGTTATTGATTTCTTTCTTTTTAATAGGCTATTTTCCTTCCTTCCTTCCTTCCTCCCTCCCTCCCTCCCTGCCCCCCCCCCTTTCTTTTCTGGTAAGTCAAAGTACCTAGAAAAATCATTGGGAAGTTTTTAACAGCTCTTCTAAGGTGTATGCAGTTAATTCAATTGACACATAGGAAGTTTGGGGGAGGAGAGAGTGGACAAAACAATAGGTCATAAGGAAGGTGACTCAGAGTAAAATTGGCCCTTAGTGGAGCCCTGTATGTTGAAGTGCACAGGAGTTCTGAAACCATAGTTTCTAGTGTAACCTTGAAGGAAAACTAGAAGAGACATTTGGGTTATTTATCTTTTTTCTCTTATACATGCCTACCATTTCCACTGAGGTATACTAAACAGAATAACGCCTCGCTGCTCAGTCGATGAGTGTAAACAGTACTTTTAGAACTGAGGACATGAGTATGTTGGGAGGGAGTCTGAAAGGACTGGTGGTGATAATGAGAATAGGGAGCAGCACCCGTGTTTGTGTCGGGAAATAAGAGTCTCCAGTTCAAACCCTGCTTCCGTGAATCCAGATGGAGGCCTGAATTCTGGATTTGTAAAGGGCCCTAAACGTAGTTCTAATATAAAGTCTGGATTGAAAGTCATTTCAGTAAATACTTTATTATAAGGCTGAAATCCCATTTTTCAAAACTGATAGTTCATCTTCTACAGAAATTATTTTATCTCTTAGTAGTACCAACCTTAGCTAATAGTTTTAGAGTAAATTTGGTAAAAATTAAATGTGTCTTCTTGCTGCTAGGATATGTGGCAGAACAATTCAAGTGGAAATAACTTCCTTACATGTTGCTCTATGTAATTTTAGATGGCACATATGTAAGCACCCTCTTTTTCTTTTCAGAAAGCTGTATGTGATGGCATCTGTGTCTGTCTGCCTGCTCCTGTCTGGATTGGCTGTGTTTTTCCTTTTCCCACGATCTATTGATGTGAAGTATATTGGCGTAAAATCAGCCTATGTCAGTTACGATTTTCAAAAGCGAACCATATATTTAAATATCACGGTAAGTGCACACTTTTCCCAAAGGCTTAAACTCCATCCTTTGTGTTATACAACCGCTCATCTACTCTGCTCTGAGAATGCTTGCTGCTGACCCCTTGCTGCGATAATTTCCATGAATTTGACTTTTTTTTAATTAATTTTATTTCTTTCACATCCCAATAGCAGCCTCTCCACCCTCCACTAGTTAATATCCAGTTATGACTGAGTACTTACCATGTTTGTCTTTCTGGGTCTGGGTGACCTCACTCAGGATGACTTTTTTCTAGTCCCATCCATTTATCTTCAAATTTTCTGATGTCATTGTTTTTAACAACTTAGTAATACTTCATCTTGTAAATGTACCATATTTTCTTTTCCATTCTTCAATTGTTGAGCATCTAGGTTGTTTTCAGTTTGTGGCTTTTAGAAATAAAGCCACTATGCAAATAGTTGAGCAAGTGTCCTTGTGGTATGATTGAGTCCTTTGGGAATATGCCCAAGAGTTGTATCCCTGGGTTTTGAGGTAGGTTGATTCCCAGTTTTCTGAGAAACCACCATACTGATTTCCAGAGTGGCTGTACAATTTGCATTCCCACCAGCAATGGACATGTGTTCCCCTTAATCCACATCCTCTCAGCATAAGCTGTCATTTGTGTTTTTAATCTTAACCATTCTGACAGATGTAAGATGGAATCTCGGAGTCAATTTGATTTGCATTTCCCTGATAGCTAAGAATGATAAACATTTCTTTAAGAGTTTATCTGCCATTTGATATTCTTCTGTTGACAATTCTCGTTCAGATCAATATACCATTTTTGAATTGGATTATTTGTTTTTTGATGTCTAGTTTCTTGAGTTCTTTATATATTTTAGAGAACAGCTCTCCATCAGATGTGGTATTGGTGAAGATCTTCTCCATTCTGTAGGATTCCTTTTTGTCCTATTGACAGTGTCTTTTTCCTTATAGAAGCTTTTGGTTACATGAGGTCCCACTTATTAATTGTCAATCTAAGTGTTTGTGCTACTGGTGTTCTGTTCAAGAAGTTGTCTTTTATGCCAATGTGTTCAAGGCTGTTCCCCACTTTTTCTTCTATCAGGTTCAGTGTAACTAGATTTATGTTGAGGTCTTTGATCTACTTGGACTTGAGTTTTGAACAGAGTGATAGATATGAATCTGTTTGCTTTCTTCTACATTGTGATACCCAGTTATGCCATCAACATTTGTTGAAAATGCTTTCTTTCCTCCACAGTATAGCTTTGGCTTCTTTGTAAAACGTCGTGTCCATAGGTGTGTGGATTTATGTCTGAGTCTTTGATTCTATTCTTTGATCCACCTGTCTGTTTTTATGCCGATACCATGCTGTTTTTATTACTATAGCTAACTAGTAGAGCTTGAGATCAGGGATGTTGATATCTCTTGTGGTTCTTTTATTATACAGAATAATTTTAGCCATCCTTAGTTTTTGGTTTTTCCATATGAAATTGAGTATTGTTCTTTCATGGTCTGTAAAGAAGTGTGTTGGGATTTTAATGGGGTTTGCATTTAATCTTTGGATTGCTTTTGGTAAGCTGACCATTTTTACTATGTTGATCCTACAAATTGATGAGCATGAGAGATCTTTCCATCCTTTCCATCTTCCAATAATCTCCTTTAATTTCTTCAAACACTTGAAGTTCTTGTCATAGAGGTCTTTTTACTTGCTTAGTTAGAGTTATCGCAACATAGTTCGTATTGTGAAGGGTATTGTTTCCCTGATTTCATTCTCAGCCCTTTTATCATTTGTATATAAAAGGACTACTGATTTTTTTTTTTTTTTTTTAGTTAATCATTTATCCAGCCACACCACTGAATGTGTTTATCAACTGTAGTAATTCCCTGGTAGAATTTTGGGGGTCATATATGTATGCTATCATGTCATCTGCAAAAAGTACTTTGACTTCTTTTCTACATTTTATCCCCTTGATCTCCTTTTGTTGTTTATTTCTCTAGCTAGAACTTTGAGTTCTATATTGATTACATATAGAGAGAGTGAACAGTCTTGTCTTGTTCTGGATTTTAGTGAAATTGATTTGGGTTTCTCTTCATTTAATTTGATGTTTTATTTATTTTTATTATATTTTTATATGATATAATACTTTTATTATATTTACTTTTGTTCCTTATATCCCTGATCCCTCTAAGACTTTCACCATGAAGGGATGTTGGATATTCATCAAAAGCTTTTCCAGCATCTAATGAGATGATCATGTGGTTTTTTGTTTTTTGTTTTTTTTTTTTTTTTTTTCGTTTCAGTTTGTTTATATGCTGGATTACATTGACAGATTTTCATATGTTGAACCATCCCTATATCTCTGGGATGAAGCCTACTTGATCATGGGATGATCTTTCTGATGTGTTCTTGGATCCAATTTGCCAGTATTTTATTGATTATTTTTGCATTAATGTTCAGAGAGAAATTGGTCTGTAATTCTCTTTCTTTGTCGTATCTTTTGTGTTCTTTGGGTACCAGGATAACTGTGGCCTCATCAAAAGAATTTGATAATGTTCCCTCTGTTTCTGTTTTGTGAAATAATTTGAGAAGTACTGTTACTAGCTCTTCTTTGAAACTCTAGTGTAATTCTGTGCTGAAACCATGTGGCCCTGGTCCTTTCTTTGTTGGGAGATTTTTAATGACTGCTTCTATTTTCCTAAGGGTTATAGGTCTGTTTAAATTGTTTATCTGACCTTGGTTTAATTTGGTATGAGGTATCTGTCAAGAAATTGGGCCATTTCTTTTAGAGTTTCCAATGTTGTGGAGTATAGGTTTTTGACATATGACTTAATGATTGTCTGGATTTCCTCAGTATCTGTTGTTACATCTCCCTTTTCCTTTCTGATTTTGTTAATTTGGATATTCTCTCTCTGCCTTTTAGTTTGTTTGGAAAAAGGGATTATCTGTCTTTTTGATTTTTCTCAAAGAACCAACTCTTCCTTTCATTAATTCATTGTCCTGGTCTCTTTGTTTCTATTTTATTAATTTTAGTCTTCTGCTTTATTTTTTTCCTGCCATCTATTACTCTTGAGTGTGTTTGTTTCTTTTTCTTCTAGAGCTTTGAGGTTTTCTGTTAAGTTGCTAGTATGAAATTTCTTCAGATTCTTTATGGAGGCACTTAACTGCTTTCCTCTTACCACTGCTTTCATTGCATCCCATAAGTTTGGTTATGTTGTGCATTCAGTTTCATTGATTCTAGGAAGTCTTCAGTTTCTTTTTTTCTTCCTTGATGCAGTGGTAATTTAGTTGAGAGTTATTCAGTTTCATGAATTTGTAGGCTTTGTGTAGTTTGCTGAACTCCATGGTGATCTGATAAGATACAAGGTGTTAATCCAACATTTTTGTATCAGTTAAGATTTTCTTTGTGACAGAGTATGTGGTCAGCTTTGGAGAAGCTTCCATGAGGTGCTGAGAAGAAGTCATATTCTTTGGTGTTTGGGAGAAACGTTCTGTAGGTATCTGTTAGGTACATTTGAATCATAATTATCTGTTAGTTCTGGTATTTCTCTATTTAGTTTCTGCTGGATGACCTGGCCTTTGGTGAGAGTGGGCTGTTGAAGTCTCTCACAATTATTGTGTGGAGTTCAATATGTGATTTTAGCTTTAGTAGTGTTTCTTTTATAAATGTGGGTGCCCTTGTATTTGAGGCATAGATATTCAGAATTGAGGCATCGATTGGTGGGTTTTTCTTTTGATGCATATGAAATGTCCTTCTTCATCTCTTTTTATTAATTCTGGTTTGAAGTCTATTTTGTTAGATAGGATTGCTATACCAGCTTGCTTCTTTGATCCATCTGATTGGGAAATCTTTTTCCAACCTTTACTCTGAGGTAATGTCTGCCTTTAATGTTGAGGTATGTTTCTTGTATGCAGCAGAAGGATAGATCCTCTTTTCACTTCCATTCTGTTAACCTGTGTCTTTTTATTAGCAAATTGACTCCATTGATATTGAGAGATAGAGATGACTGGTAATTGTTAATTCCTGTTAATTTTTTGTTGCTGGTCATTGGTGGTGTTGGTGTGGCATTTTCTATTGCCCATGTTTTCATGGATGTAGCTAACTTCCTTGGGTTGGATTTTTCCTTCTAGTACTTTCTGTAGAGCTAGGTTTGTGGCTAGATATTGATAAAATTTGACTTTGTTGTGAAATATCTTGTTTTCTCCATCTATGAGGATGTGTGGAGTTTTGTTTTTTGGTTTGTTGTTTTTATTGTTGTTGTGTTTTGGGTTTTTTTGGGGGGGCGGACATGATCTGATGGTAAATCAGAATGGCTGCCATCAGCATTTAACTCAAAAAAAAAAAAAAAGACTACACTTTTTTATTGTTCATAGAATTAAATGGGAAAAAGGGGCATGCAAACTGGATGTGGCTTGAAATCAGAGACAGTAGGCACCAGTCATGTTGATGAAAGGGCCACAAATTCCTCTTGCCAGAGACAAGAAAGAGTGCTTTAGCAAGCAAGGACTTGACTTTCCTCAAGCCCTGAGGGAATACACACCCTTATGCAAATGTATGACCTTGGGGAAGGACTTGGGGATGCAGACACTATACTATAGTTTCTCAGTCTTACTGTTTGGGCCTGGTTCCCTCACAAGCTCCCAAAAGGGAAGGGCCTGAGTCTTCCCTTTTCCCTTTATACCAGACCATTCTGATTTCTCTAAACTTAAGTGAACTCTTAACCTGAAAGGCCTGAGGCTCTGGATCTGTATGGCAGGCATTCATCCTTGGGGTCAGTCAGTCTAGTACATCTCTAACTTTCCTGTCCTTGGTGTAATTAGGAGGTACATTGGAATTCCTGGTTCCACCAGGCAGGGATATTTTTCCAAAAAAATTAGTTTGTTTAGAGAAACTACCATTGGACACATTGTAGCCTTTACCAGCACCTGCACAAAATTTCCCATAGGGAAAGGCACCAATAGTGGGAATCATTAAAAATGAAAGTAAAAAGGTGTGCTGGAGAAGTGGGGTCTGCAAAGTCGATATGCTGGAACTTGGTCAAGCAGCATGGTCGCCATATGATCCATGCCACGTGTACTCATGGACATTTTGGTTGAGATCACACAAATTTTCCTGCATGAAAGGCTTTTTCATTGACTATTTTCCAAAGCATTTTGATACAGTAACTGTGCATTTAAAACATGCAAACTAAAACCGATCATGGTAGCAATATGCCTTTGATGCTACCTACCACTGGAGGGTGGGGCGGGAGATTGGAAGTGGAAGGTCAGTTTGAGCTGCAAACTTGAATCTAACCATTTTTGTCTGCATTTTGATCTAAATCTACGAGCATGGAAGTTTGAAATGCCATTTGGTAGTGTTCTTGCATATTATGCACAAAGTCTGATTCAGCCTCTGTGGCCACACAAAAGCAGACATGGTGGTACCTGTCTGTGATAGGAGCACTGTAGACCTGGAGATAGGAGGAGAAATTCAAGGTCATCTTTAGCTAGTGAGTTCAAAGTCTGCAGGACTGCTTGCGATCCTATCTGAAAACAGTTGCTTTCCCTTTCAGAACTGGGGGGTGGGGGGGGCTGTTGTTTGTTTTTTAAAGTACTAACTATTTAGTTGGGAGAGTCATGCGTGTGTGTGTGTGTGTGTGTGTGTGTGTGTGTGTGTGTGTGTACATATTACATAAACATTTAAATGAAATTTTATAATTATGTTTAGTCCAACTTTTTCAAAGTTTTGAATTTAGTGTTATACACATATACCTCTGTAAATATTCTTTGGCATTTTTGTTAATATTTTTCTTTTCCTAATAAATGAGGCATAGACATACCTAAAGTCACCGACTTTATAGTTTTGAGTTAACATTTGAGGCCCTATTTAAAGATAATATATATTTTCTGCCTTTTTCTTTTTTACAGAACACGCTAAATATAACAAACAATAACTATTATTCTGTTGAAGTTGAAAACATCACTGCTCAAGTTCAGTTTTCAAAAACAGTTATTGGAAAGGCACGCTTAAACAACATAACTAACATTGGCCCACTTGATATGAAACAGGTAAGCCTCAGTCAGGGACAGTCTGAGTGAGTTACATGGTTCTTCACCCTGTGTGTTGTAAAATGGAAGGAGGTGGGGATGTCCCCCAAAACTTGGACATGTGCCCCCTGAGAGTATAAATATAAACTGAGTTCATCAAAGAAAAGATTTATGTTTAGTGTTTGTATCCTCTCCTCTGTTGATATGTTTTCTTTGCTGTTTTGTTGTTTTTGCTTTCAGATTGATTATACGGTACCCACAGTTATTGCTGAAGAAATGAGTTACATGTAGTAAGTGTTGATTTTTAGTAACTTTATCATTTGTTTTTTTAATTTTTATAACTTTATTAATTAAAATGACCACATTTTTCAATGTTTGCTGTTCTCTGAGCATGCTTTTCTTCTTTGCTACAGTGTAGATAATGTGTTTTCATGTGTACCTATACCCACAAAAGTCTTTATTTTCGGGATTATATATGTTTATCATTATTTTGGTTACCATCTAGTGACAGTGCTTCAGTATTGAAGTACTGAGATTTCTAATGCATAATAATACTCTCTTAGGACTTAGAGTTCTGATGACTTTGTAATTTTGTGTGTGTGTGTGTGTGTGTGTGTGTGTGTGTGTGTGTGTGTGTGTGCGCGCGTGCACGCGTGCGTGTGTGTGTGCACACACGCATGCTGCATGTGTAAGGATAAGCACTGAATTTTTGGAGGCCAGCGTTGAAGTTGAGTGTTTTCCATTACCAGTCTACCTTTTTCTTAAGATAGCATCTGTGACTGAAAACCTAGAGCTCATTCATTTGGTGATGCTGGGTGTCCAGCAAACCCCTAATACCCCAACCTCTAGTACTGGGCTTACAAGTACATCATCCCATGCCTGGCTTTGGTCTGAGTACTTGATATTGAAACTCAAGTTTTCATGCTTACACAGCAAGGATTTTACCCACTAAGCCATCTCCTCAGCACTTCTTATGTATTCTTAATAGTGTCTCTCCAGGCTCAGTTAAATGGGCCCATATTCCCAGCTATTAAAGAGGATGAGATGGGGAATATTATTTAGGTCAACCTACACAACATATGGTGATTCCATCCCAAAGGGGAAAAAAAATAAAACAAAAATCAGTATTCAGTGTCTATTAGGTTTAACAGAATTTTTGGTTAATATTTGTAATAAAATTGTTCTTCCTATTTTAATTTCTTTTTTACAGCGACTTCTGTACACTGATCTCCATCAAAGTACACAATATAGTACTCATGATGCAGTAAGTATGGCCATGTTTGCAAAACTAGCTCTTGATAAGATGTTGAGTTTATAAAAGTTGTAAGATATGCGCCCCCGAGAAAGCCATCTCCGAGGGCCTTCAGTCTTACAAGAGTACTGTGTAAAACGTAAATGTTTTCTCACCTAGCTAGCTAGAGTACGGTTGCTCAGAGACACAGTTAAACGCTGCCAGGCATTGTGTGAGCTCAGGAAAATGGCAGGGTTAGCACAGGGAGACTGGGCTAACAGCTGTTCCTTTCTACTTGGTAAATAAACTTACAGCAACAAAGAATAATGCTTTGGGTTAAAATTGTGTGTTACTTATGTATGTACAATATTATTCGTTGTATTTTATATTTTGGTCAGTGGTTGACATTTAACTCTCCATTTTCCTATGATGAGGGAACAATGTGATTTTTTTTAAGCATGTAATAAACTATTTTCAAGTCAAAATAACTATTTTAATTATGTTTATAATTGGATATGGAAATATATTTTATAAATATGTTTTATATATGTATAAAGAAATATAAATATGTGTTATTATGTGTGTTTATATATACATATTACTTAAGCAAATAATTGGGTAGGGTTTGCTCAGTTAGCATTTTTGGATTTGTTGAATAAATATTCTCTAATAATCCTATGTCTGTAATATTGTCATCATTAATACCAAATCCAAATGAACAATAACTGATAATTGTAATTCACAATAAGTAATTTTAGGACATTAGTGTATGAGATATAAATTCATATTAGCTTGATTTTAGCCTCAAATAATCCCATTGAGATAATTTTTACATATAACTTGTATACTCTTTCTATTTGTTTCATTTTTAGAGTAACTGTAACAACAACATACTTTGGACACTCTGAACAAATATCTCAGGAGAGGTACCAGTACGTCGACTGTGGAAGGAACACGACTTACCAGTTGGCCCAGTCTGAGTATCTAAATGTACTTCAGCCACAACAGTAAAGTCTAAAGGAGGTGTGATAGAGCAGATGACCCACCTGAGACATGTTCAGAACTGTCAGTGAGGAGATACTGCCCAGGACACCTTGAATTGAGCATGTCTAAAGTTTACTCCAGGACACTGAGGGTCCCTGGATTCTCGTTCTGTGTCAGTGATTTGCTTGTACCAAGAGCCTTTCCTCGATTGTAAGTTAACTGATTGGCTTTCTTCTTATCTTTGTTCCCAAGGTGAAAAACTGAGACTTCCTCTAATACAATAAATAATTATATAAAAGTCATAGACTTAATCTATAGTTCTATTGATAATAGTTCAGTCATGAACATAATTTGACAAGTAACCTCTGAAAATTTTTATATGAAAATCCATTACTCATGGAGGACTTTTAAAACTAACCTGTTTTATAAACTCTCATTCTTATAAGATGGTAGTCTTTCGACTATATGATAACGTAGCTATTAGCTAAATGTTTTTAGCCTTTAACTTGTTGAAATTTTACTCATTTGCATGTTTTTGTCTTATTTTTAGCTAATGGTTAATAATATTTACCAAAATTCTGTTGTACACTTTGTAAGAACCTCTCAGTATGTGCTTCATGTATAGTTTTGTCAACTTTTTGTGATCATCAAACATATTCCTTTTGTGTACAATATTGTAAATAAACTGCATGGCTTTTATACAGCTTTGATAACTGTCAAATGAAGTGGTATTGATTAGGAAGGTAAAACAAGTTGTTAAAAAATAAAGTAGGAAAATGAAATTCAGAAATATATAAAATATCAGTAGGTCCCAATTACTTTTTGGATGTGGCAAAAATAGATATACAATAAAACATTTTCATGCTTTCCTTTTATGTTGCTTTTCATACTAAGAATTATATAGATGTTTTCAGAATGATCAGGTATTATCAATGTTATGAATGATTTATGCAAGGAAATTATATTTTACTAGAACTTATTCTAGAAATCCTTTCATTTAACACTGGTGGCTACATCAAAATAAGCCTGTAGTTTGCTTTTAAAATTTTAATCATTATATATCATACTGATTTGATGCTTCTGCAGTTACATAAGTATTCCCCTTTTTACTTTAATTTCATCTAACATTGTTTTCAAGTATGAAGGATGTGGTCACGTTATGACTTATATTTTCAGGGTCATTTTCCATAAGGTGGTTTTTCCTTATCCATTCAGAAAATTCTAAGGCCCCTTTAAAATATATAACACTAGTCATAGGAACTAATTATGATACCAGATTAATTTCTTTTCTTCCTTTTTTTTTTTTTTTGGACTCATGACAGAAATTGGGTTTTCCTTTTCCCATACCCAATTGCCTACCTTAGTTATGTTGTGTAGCCCATTGATCAGTCTAAAGTATACATCAGATCTCAATTATAAAACAAATTCTCATGGCTTCATCCTGTCCCTTAAGCACACTTTTGTCTTCCCCAAGCTTTCACACCATTTCTCCATGTGAGGGAACATTGCAAACATCTGTTGTTTTGTATCTTGCCTTCCTCAGGCGTTCCAAGGTTAGCTGTCTATCCTTCCTGTCGTGCCCAGGCCATCCTTTGCAGTCATGCATTTTCTAGTCACACAAGTCTTTGTCGGAAGTTTTCTTCTCCAGTGCTTGCTGGTTCCCCCCACGCCCCCACCTCCCACCCCCCCCATTCATTCCTTCCAGTTGTGCTTACATTTTCCAAATTAAACTCACTTCATTATCTGTATTTTCTCCTTTTGACATAACTGATGTCTGTGAGTCATCAGGTTTTCCGTTTGTCTAGAAGTGTTTAATCCAGTCACTTCAGAATCACTGCTATCTTTAGTTAGGCCTCTAAGTCTGTGTCTCTTCTTGACCAGTAACTGTGTAGTTTCATGTTTACTAGGTTAACTTGTGTTTCTTGGTGACTTTCTATGTGTAGAAATAAACTGTAAAGAAATCCTTTTATGACTTCCCTTGTGCGTTGCCCCTGTCCTTCATGCCTAATTACATGGTGTACAAAATCATCATTCATTCATTTCTCCAAAGTCAACTTTTACATATGTCTTATGTAATCACCATCTGTGTTCCTTCTGTGTGCATTTTAGTCTGGGATGGCACTGTGTCGGTGAGGAAATTTGTGTGGAACGCATGTGTAGGGCCTGACGAGTCAGGACAGTGGTGCAGCCACTGGAAGCTGCTTTGCTCCCAGTGACTCAGTTTCAGAATCCTTTAACCCTTTAAAATTTGATCACATCTAGACATCTAGGTTCAATGTCTACTTGGATAATGTTTGAGCCATCAAAAAAAAAAAAAATACTTGGAATTTAAACCCAAGTGAAAGATAAAAGACAGAGAGATGCAGAATGCCTGTGACAATTCAAGGAAAATCAAGTAACCACAGGTTAAGCCAGATGATAACAAGCTGCAAGTTAAAACTAAAACAAAATAAACAACAACAAAATCCGTATTTTTGGAGAAGCCAAATGGTAGGCATAAAAACATTTGGAAAAATCAATGAGGCTTTTAGCTTTTCTTAGGTCAATGCTGAGTCTGGCTTCTGGCATGGAGAAAGGGTAGGTATTAATATATTTTTATGAGTACCTTCATAACTTAGCCAGGCACGTGAGGAAGACATTACAGTGTTGCTCTGTGCTCTCAGAAGTAAATTCCGTTCTACCCTAATCCAACAGTGCTCCAGCCTCTGGATGGATATTGTGGATGCCAAACAGCACACTGGCTGCTGCTCTTCTGTCTGCTTTTATTAGGTGATTTCTCACCAGTGTACTGAGAGGATTTGCTTTAAAATTGCATACTAGTATCTCATATTTTTATCCTTTCATTTAATACCCATCAGAAAGCCATGGTAAATTGGCTTAATGCAATTAAAAATTAGAAATGGCCAGCAAAATGGTTCAGTGTATAAGGATGATTGCCACCAAGCCTGATGATCTGAGTTCAGTTTCTGCATCTCACAGCAAAGAGAACTGACTCCTGCAAGTTGTCTTCTGATGTCCATACACACACAGTATCACATGTATATGCATGTTCGAGCACGTGTGCGGGCACACATGCACACGCGCACACACACACACACACACACACACACACAGAGAGAGAGAGAGAGAGAGAGAGAGAGAGAGAGAGAGAGAGAGAGAGAGATGCATGTAAAAATAGAATCAAAGTTCTTGAAGTTAATAGTCATGGGCTAAGATTTTGGTGACTCTGAATTGCTATCTGAAATATTTCTAAAAGTTAATTGAACAATGTAGAATACTATAGAGCCAATCCTACTTGGAACTTAATTTTGTGTTAATATTTAATACTCAATAATTCTAATAAAAATAAAACCGACATTTTCAGTGTGAATTATTTATAAATAAGATTATTACATTTGAGATTTGAAATACAGTATGCAAACATTAGACATGAGATAAATTCCTTGAAATTGCTTAAAAGACCATCTTGACTGAGGTGACATTTAATACATTGTAGCTTTATTTTGTGTTCAGTTTTCTTTTGATTCCTGTTTACTTGGGATTAATGAAGTAGTTACTTTCTGATTTAAAAAGTTACAAGCATAAAATATAACTCACTTCAGAATTGCACTTAGGAAATGGCAGGGTCATGTAAAAGGGGATAGGAGGTGACCTCAAAACACAGGATAAGTAACATCTTAAGAGCCTTGAGACTTGGCCCTAATGAGTTCTCTTTGGCCTTATTGTGATGTAATGTTGGATATTATGTTGGCAGGTGTGTTGCTGAGTCTTTGCCATTCTGTTTGTTTTTTTAAAGGAAAGAGCTTAAGTCAACAAGTATTGACAGAATGCTTCTTATTTTAGAAGATCGTTCATATACCTTAAAAATGCAAAGAGCTTTAGGCTTTCAAATGCATTTTCTGTCTTCTTTAACAAGTAATATTAGCTAAGTTGTTGATGTATAATCAGAGTGTTTGAGATCACTAAAGTGCAGCAGGTGCTTGGATAAGAGTACATCTTAGAGGGGTCAGCTGGGTGCCTCTTACTGTTTGTGAAATTGTGTTTTAAATGAGATATTTAACTTTTTAAAGAAAAAATACTACATATCAGAGATAGTTGGATAAGAATCATAACTCAGATTTTTATTTTTCAATTAAAACAGCTATATTTGTGATATTCTCGGATCAAAAATATAAATTCTATATCCCAAGATATATTTACACAGCAATACTCACTCACAGTTTCTAATTGAAACTACATCGTGTGTCTTTAGCTTGATTAGATAACAGGCTTCATGGAGAAGTTTTGAAGCTCATCTTTAATTGAGATTAAGCCAACAGTGATGTGGTTACTATAGGAACGAAAATGGAATTTCTGTGTTTTAAAATGTAATTCCTTTTGTAGTTCTTTTTGCACATTTAACACAGAGTCCAAGTTGAAGAACATATCATAATTTTTTGTAGTTCTTTTTGCACATTTAACACAGAGTCCAAGTTGAAGAACATAGCGTGGTTGGTGTTCAACCCTCAAAGCATAGATAACTTAGCAAAATATGAGCTTTTCATAGTTGAGTCTTAACTATTCTAGAAGGAAGTTGTTGCCTTCTGTTTAATTATATTAATTGAAATGTGTTTAAGAGAAATGTTTTCAGGATATTTTGTATACTGTAAAACACAAAAGAATAGTATTGTGCCAATGGCCAAAGGTAATATTACTACCATGTAGATTATGAAAGTTCAAATTGACCAATTCACCCAGAATTTTAGAAACTAGAAGTCTGGGGGATACTGCATCAGCTGTGTTGGGTGGTTTTTAAGTGCTATACATGCTGTTCATCTTGTAATTGTCCAGGAGGAGGAGGAGGAGGGATGCCAGACTGTACCAGATGCAGAATTTCATTACACAGACGCTGGCTTCAGACATGAAGCATCAACCAGTCATGTCTGTGTGGTTTATCCTGTAATTTCCTTTAGAACTAAACTAAGGAGGTTTGGGGAAATGATTTGGGATGTCCGCTGATTACATACATGACAGTATTACTAGATTCTAACAGTCAGTTCAAATTGTGGAATAGAGAATGTAAAATATCTTCTTTAGATATTTTAAAATATGCTCTTTAGTGGTCTCCCTCCATCATGGTACATCTATTAAATTTATTATTTGTACAGTTATGAATTATAGTTATGATTGCTGTTCATGTAGGGAAATGTGGTTATGACAGGAAAAAAAGAATAGACATGCCCCCCAATGCTATTTTTTAAATTCACTTGAAACAGTTACTCTTATACTTGTGTATGACAAAAATAAAATTTGTAAAACCATTTTAGCATGAAAAATAAAATTTCTATCAACAAATTCTTTGGCTTATGCTCTTGAAATTTGGGGAGTATGGATACTCTGGTCCCATGGAGCTTGTAGATTCTGTGCATGGGCCTTATCTTTGGCTTCTCTCTCTATGATCCACTCTAGCTTCCATTTATCCTCAAGTTCTACCCATTCTACCCACACGATGTCTCTGGAGTCGTATGTGGAATCTCTATTGAACTAGTCCCTATGTTTTACAGGAAAAAAATAAATAAAAAGCCCAGGTCTTTCCTCTAGCATTGAAACCCTTAATGATCTGACTACAGCCTATCTTTATCCCCTATCTACCAGCAAAGCTGAGAGCTCTGCCATGCCTGGGGAACTTGCCTCAGCTCTTTGCTCCTTCCATGCGTTTCTTCATACAAAATTTATTCTAGCCTGCATCCTATCTTCTTTGTGGCTCAGCTCAGATCACACTCCTCACTCCCTTTCTTTCAAATGGATTCATAGTTGGTAACCCTTTTCCAGTTGTGTGCTTTTAAATCAGTTGCCTAATCATGAAAGAAAAAGTTATAGTTAAACCTAAAGTGTTTTCTTTTAAACTGAATTTCATAGTGTTTAAATGTTTTGTTTAGGTCACCATTTATTCAAACACCTTTCTCAACACAGAGCTTTTATTTTAAGCACATGTTTAAAATGTTGTACAAAATAGCATGAGCCAAGGTTGGATGAGATGTGCCCTGAATGTTGGTAGAATAATGAAGAAAAAAAAAATAGTGTTTGTTTTTCTATATCTGATTTTGTTTTTAACCTTGACAGTTTGTGAAGTCAGAAAGAAGTAACAAATTGATGAGGCTTTTTATTCTGGTAAATTTCAATTCCTTTGATCAAAGTTTTCATGTTTCTTAAGATGTAGATTTTATGTTTCAAGACAGCATATTGTGTAGGACCCCAATATGTGACGTCATTTCTGCCTCGATTTAGTGAGGGACAAAAGACCAACAACTGCAGACAGCTTTAATGACCAAGAAACGTATTTTGATATGCCGTGATTGAGCACATGTAAGCTTAAATGTTTCACAAAGCTTTCAAAATGACAATGAAAAGTGTGATCTTTACTTTCTGACAAATGCTTTTCTGTGTTTACTCTCATGTTTAGTTTTGAAAGGGAAATTTTCAGAAATTTGCACAGTGCATCATGTTTTATGATGATATCATAAGTCAAATTTTGCTTTTTGTATCCAGTGCTATAGGCACTTAGCCATCACAATTGGCAAAATTTATCTTTATTTCATAAACTCAAGTACCAGGGATGGGACGCATTATTTATAGCATTTTTAAAACATCACCCTGAGCAAATCAAGTGTAAAAAGATTCCTAACCTGAAATGTAAAAGAATGTTTCTCCCATTGAAACAAAATCAACTTTTGTCTTATATTTTTGGAGGGACTCTTTAGCATAAACGTAAACGAGCCATCACTGAGACATTAACAATCTAAAATCGATTTTACAAAAAAAACAAACAAAAAAAAATGTCGCATACAGTCCCTTTCACTAAAAATGTTTACAGAATACAAATTTTCCAATGTCTGAAATTCAGGCTTGAGAGATAGTTCAGTGTTAAAAGAGTGCTTTCTATGCAGCCATAAGGACTGGAATTGGATCCTAGCATGAGCCTGTAA